CGAAGATCTCTCGATCAGTACTGATCCCTTGATCAAGGATGTTCCTCGTATCGACAAAATCAAAGGTAACCAGATCTCCAAAAGCTTTGAGCTTTCTCTTGAACGCTCCTCGATGCGTCTTGAAGTGTTTCATCTTTGCTCTGATGCATGACTCACAGTAGGGATTCTTGTAACGATGTGTGAGTAGATGCTCGATTTTCCTGGCATCTGCTTTCAGAGTTCCTCTTCTCACCATTCTACTTGCACCGTCAACAACATCCACCTCGATGTCATCTGCATCATCATCGTCAGCTTCTGGTTCACTGTCTCCGGCGACATCTGATCCTACCTCATCTTCTTCTCCAGGAGATGCCTTGAACTTCTTATTCCTCTTTCTCCTTTTGACTTTTGGAGGCTCAATCACAGGAAGGTCGTCATCATCACACATGATTCCTTGAGGATCCACATCACAGTTGATGAAAGTCGATTGGTAATCAGCTTCATCTTCTCCTAGGGTGAACCTTGCGATCATCTCCGCCCTTGTATCGTCGGTGGGAGTACAGAAGTCACTACCCTTGACAATATATGGGATGTTTCCCTCTACTTCTAACATGATTTTCTTGTAGTTCGGGGAAACCATGTACGGGTTGCCGCAGGCTGGCCATATGAATGTGTATCCTTCCTCCATGCATTTCTTTCCAACAGACAGTACTGAAGGAGACTCATCTAAGACGAATGGGGAGTAGGTAGAGTCAAATTCGTCGAAATGAATGTCGGCGACTCCCTTTGTGGATGTCACTCCATTTGCAGTATAGAATGACATTGATTGGTCGCTTTCTCTCACTTCTAGACCTAATTTCTTGGCTCTGCCTTTCGATATCAAATCATATCCACATCCTGTGTCCATGATGAACTTCGTTCTTGACCCTTTGGCTGGAATGGACAATGTCTTTGTGTCTGCATGATCTTTCTTTCCCTCGCATACATGAGGAATGACTTTATGATGGAAAACTAGGCCGTCATCTTCGTCAAAAGACATAGTGACCGATAGGTCACCCTTTGGTCCAACTGGTATTCGGACCCTCTTGATCTCAGTGTAGGGGACCATCAATATGCCTCTCGCCTCTGCGACCTTTTCTTCAAATCTGATTTGTTCTTTCCTCGTGTAGCAGGTGAGCTCTTTCTCATCGTATCGTTTGATGTCCGGACGTAGAGGTTTCTTTTCTACTACCTTCCATTTGTCCCTGACTGAGTAGATCGCTTCGTTCAACATGATTTCACAAGTCTCTTCATCAAAGGACACTTTTGCACCTCCTTCTCTTGCCTTGGCGGATGCAACAATCCCTTCATCTTCGGATTCGTCCATGAAGAGTTCACCGTCAATGGCTGGGGCTCCAGGCTTCGCCTTAGGCTTCGGTTTGGGTTTTGCCTTGGGCTTTGGCCTATCGTCTCCTGAGTCAGCTGGTGCAGATATCCCTTTCTTAGGAGAGGCTTTTGGGTGATGGTAGAACTTGCAATCCTTCCCTTTGTCACAAGTTCCTCGAATCCACATCCAACATACTGGCTTGTCACTCTTTCCGACAGAAGATCCTCTGGATGGTGATCTGGGTTTCTTGTGACTGAATGGGCAATCTTTCCCCATAGTGCAGTTCCCTTTCACGAAGAATTTGCATGGTATCTTCTTCTTGTCTGTACTCGGACTTCGGCTGCGATCCTTTCCATCACCTTTACCTTTCCCCTTTCCCTTTTTGTTCTTGTCTTCAGGATGCTTCTTGGGATTGGGTTTCGGCTTCACTGCAGCAGCGTCTTCTGAGACAACCTGTTCTTGTTGCCCTTTTGGTTTCTTCTTCGGATCAGCTGGTGCAGCTTTCAGTTTTGGAGCAGGTCCGCCTGGTTTGAGATTCTGAAAGATATTGGCCACATTCTTCACTGCCTTCTCCTTTTCCAGGATCATCCTGTCTTCAGTTTGCCGTTCGATGTGCCTTCTGATCATATCACGTAGATGTTTGTATGTCTTCTTGGCATCATCGTCGTTCATGCTGTTGTAGGCGCTGATGTCGTATGCCATGAGGTTTGAGTTCCTGATCTTTCTCCATAGGAGATCCCGAAGAGTTTCGTCGCTCGGGACGTCAACGGGCTTCATTCCTGCCAGAATCTCATCCCAAGTGTGGAAGAACAACGATAAGTTCTTGTCTCCTTGATATTCTAGTTGGTAGAGGTGCATTGAAGTATATAAGACTTCCACATTTGATGTTGTCTTGAAATTCATAAGGATCAGGGCTAGGACCTCTCTTCCCTTTATGAGGCTTGATGTTCTCCCTTTTGCATTGATCCTCGTCCTCAACTTCATAGCTACACCTGAACCATCATCTTTCGCATCCATGACGACCTTGGTAAGAGCTAGGCCGAGTTTGGCATCGATTGAATGGAATCTTTGGTCTCCTGAGTCGACAAACTTGTCCGGATCAGGATCGTCCATGGCTTCTTTGATCCAGTCGATCCAGGGCTCTTGATCTGAATCATTGGCCGCAATGATGATCGATTGAATGAGATTTGCCTTCCATAGTCCAAGATCATTGATCCTGGGCCATGACGGAACGTTTATCTTTGATTCTTCCTTCCTCGATACTTTCATGATTGTAGAGGTTGCCGGTGCAAGATGAGATGAAGAGGATGCTTCTGCTTCTGAAATCTTGTCCCTCAATGATTTGTTCGCCTCGGATAGCTCAATTCATTTCTCCCTTTCCTCGGCGTACTCATTGTGGGTTTCGGCATACCATTGATACATCTCATCTCGGCTCTCTGTCATCTTATTGTACCCGTCCTTGTAGTGCTTCGCCTCCTCTTTTGCGTTCCGAATCTCATCTTCCTCGGACGCGTGGGTTGGTAACCCGCGGTCTCTGGAACTAGGACGCTTGCTGTACCGAGAGACTATGGGTGCCATTCGTGCTTCTGCTTTTAATTTCGCATTTTCCATAATGACATTCTTTGTCTCCTTCTGGCTTTCCAATAGTGCATTCTCCAGTTCTCTGATCTTCTGTTGAATTTCAGCACCATCATCGCCGAACATAGGAGCTCTCATCATATTCTCTCTTTTCAGCTGTGCGTTGGCTTCGGATAGAGCGAGGTTGACGTCTTTCAATTGTTGTCGTTCACGGATGGAACTTTCTAGGACTTCGTTGTTGAATATTTCTCCTTTTGCGATAACCTCCTTTGCGACGTTTGCTTCGTATTCATGGTGGCTCGCCTTCATTTCTGCCATTTCTTTAGCAGAGACTTCAGTCTGGCATACAAACATCTCCATCCTCGTGCCCACTTCCATCTCTCCTATCTCCGCTCTCGCGTTGAGTTCAGCTCCACGTGCCATAGCTAGTTGACCTCGTAGATGATCAATAACCAAAGCTTCCTGATTGCTCTGATCTTGAGATGAGTGAACACTGTGTTGAAGACGTCTTTCCCTGACCTCACTGTTCCATTGTTCTTCTCTCTGGTGTTGGATCACCTCGTGCATGTTGACATTCTCATCCTGTAGCGCAATCATTCTAGCTTGTATCTGGTCAGCTATTCCGACGAAGGCTGTGTTCTCATCCTGAATGGCTTTTGATCTTCTATTGATCGCCAATGAAGATTCATTCTGTTCTTGGATGTGTCCAATTGCTGCTTGAAGCTCTTGGGACATTCTGTCCTTCGTTGCTTTCACAGATTCAAGCTCTGAATGTTCTTGATGAGTTTCTTGTGCAAGCTCTTGATATCTCATGTAGATATGTTCAGCTGTCGATTCCGCCAAGCGTAGCTTGTGTTCGAGCTCTTCAATTCTTATTGTCGCTCCTTCGTCTTCCTGTGTCATCTCTTGTAGATGTTCCTGCATCTTCCTGTTGTAGTCAGACATTTGCCTGAACTCCACTTCAGCCTCGTGGTGTAGTCGTGAGTATCCGGCTTGGATGCATTCATATTCTTCATGAAGAAAATTGTATGCGTTTCTCGCCGATCTCAATTCTTCACCTAGCTGAATCTCTCTTCTTTGCTCTTTTGTTCCTCTATCATCGTCACGTCTCTTCTCTATACTCCTTCTTGGGGATCTCGCGGTAGACGTTATAGGCGATGTAGATCTTGTTGTAGCTCTCATCGATCTTCTTGGTCCTACGGGTGCAAGATCGGTCAGATTCCGAGCCGGTGGCACGGATCTTTCCGAGATTTGTGATCCAGTAGGCATAGTGATAACGTCAGCATTTGCTGATGAATCAGTACCCATTGTAGAGTCTGGTGACGAAATGGTGTTGGGACCACCAGGAGCAGCGAATGAATAGGGTTCGCTTCCATTTCCTCCTGAGCTTGACATTGCAGGTTTCTGTAATGACTAGTCTTGTTCTTGGTCTCGTGTAGCTCGTACGGCTATAAAGAGCGCGTACGGCTGATAACCTGCGAGTGGATCTTAATCAGCGAAGTTTGAAGCTATCACTGACGGTCCATAAGCGGCGTAGCGTCGGAACGGAAACCGCACCTTTTCTAGTCGCTTGATCCTTGAGCCAAAGTACATATGGTACATATATATGTACAAGTTGCACTGTACGTGTCGCTGCACTTCCATTCGCAATATATATATATTAAGAGCTAGAGCTTCTACTGAACCTCGGTCTCACAAGACTAGGTGGTGGAAGTGTTTGCTGTAGAAGCCAAAGTGAAGAGTTTCATGAGGCTTTTTTGGAAGAAGCAATTTAAAGTCGACCACTATCTTTAAGACAAAGTTTCGGAGTCTTCAACAAATGGTTGTAGCGGCAGGCGGCATGCACCGCCCCACCATATGCAGCGATGGCAGCACCACCTGTCGTAATAGCAGCAATGGAGCCACCACAAAGAGCACTCACATCCAGGAAGTCTTGGCAATGAACGACAATCAGATTGATGAATGTCACAACCTGACTAATGTATGCCACTGCTCCTGCAATGTCCACCACACACAGCGCATCTGGAATTCCCTTCAAGACATTCAATGGGTTCTTTTCAGTCGCAAACTTGCCGCATCAGTTTACATTCACAGCTTTGTTGATGGCAAGCCCCATGTTGGCGATGTTGGCAGCCACCATACCAACGTCTACGCCACACTGGACTCCGTTGCCAACAGGTCCTTCGCCGATCAAAAGCCTGCGGCCGGTTCGGACAGTTTGGTCGCCCAAAACGCTGATTTGTGTCGTGGTCAACGAAGGAGGAGTTGGTGTGCACACAGCAGCACCCAAACAAGCACCAGCGGCAATCTCTCCGAAGGCTGCCACCAAGCCACTGACACCTGCTGCACACACAGAGTCCACATTAAGGGTCAAAGCACAGTTTGAAGCTGCCAGAGAAATCTTTGCAGCAGCATTTCCCACCCAAGCGACCAAAATGGACGCATCGACCTGACAAGCTAATTCGGACTCGCCGTCACGAGGTGGAGGGCAAGTTCGGATGATGCCATTGATGTCATCCCCCATGCCCACAACTGACACGAAAGCTTCCAGAATGTTGAAAGCACATTCTGCATGCCCAGCTTCCTTATTGTGCTGTCCACGACGGAAGTCCTTGATTGCTTGGCGGTCTTTCAGAACTGCAAGGGTGTCAAGCTTGCGAACGTGATGTTCCTCCCAGTCCTTTTGAGCATCATGCCCAGCCTTCTTCATTGCCTTCAAGACAGTGCTCTCTGCCAGACTGCGATTCTTGACTTTGAGCAATTTCTTGGTGGTCTTCAGAATTGCATCATCCACATTCAGCTCGGTTTTGCCCTGCAAAGCGTTCAAATTGATGCACTGGTTGGAGAAGCGCATCGAAGCCAGTCCAAAGACTACCAAGAGAGCTCCAACCACACCGAAGGTCTTTTTCACATGCGGCCAGCCGCGATTCTGCACCACAAGCTCTTGGTCAGAGCCACTCTCTGGTTCAACGCGCGAGACAGCCAGCATGGCAGTAGATTGAACTGCAAAGAAGTCGCGTGGATGTGCGTGGACGTGGAGTTTAGAGCCAAAGCTTGACGCGACCTCATTTGAAGAGGTAGAAGTAAGTCACGAAGGCAAACCTTCCTCTATCAACTTACCCAGTGATCAAAGGGCCAGCTCACGTGCACAGAGTGGGCCCTTCTCTGTCTCCAGCCTCCCAGGTAAGGAGCAAGACTGTCCAAGACAAATCCTGCCGGCACTGTCCGGGACATATCATTGAACCGCATCACTGACTTATGCTCAGCACTATTCCTGTCTTTGCATGTCTCCAACTTCGAGTCTATGTAGCAAAACAAGATAAACAAGAATACCAAGTAGGTTCATCTGTATGTCTTATGCAGCCTTTTTATTGTCTCACAATGAACGTCTCAACGCTCCAGGAGGGTGCTGAGGGTGAAATTGCGGCTTTGCCCCATTTGAACGAACTTCTGTGTGAACCTGCAGTTGAGAGGACGAAACAAAAGCACACAAGCACCCAACAAAAGTCTGTTGGTTCAAGACATTTTGGGTCATTCAATCTCTATGTACAAACAAGCAGAGATACAATCTAGAAGAACACGTGTGAATTATTCCTGTCACACCACTAGCATTGCAGCTTGAAGCAGGGCCACTGTGCACAGATAAAAGACCCAGGGTTGACAACAAAATGCAAGAGTGGATTCAGCACCTATGGACAAGACGGCAAGAGGAAACAAACAAGTTCTGACACCAAAGGATCTGAATAAAAAGGTTCTTCAAGCAGGCGGGCAGGGAGTCTTCAGCAACCAATTATCCGAAGAGAGCACATAGTCGAAAAGTTGCCAACAACATTCTTACAACTGTCGAGTCGTTGGGTCGGACTCACCAAGTGCGCCACAAATTGACAAGATCATTCATCTTCGCGTCGCCATTCATAAACTCTTTCATAGCACGCTTCCAACCCGCAATCCTCGGAGCAAAGAAATCCCCAGGTCTGCAGAAGTCTGGGCGGCCAGCAGACGACCTTTGATGTTTCTCTACGATTGACCCTCAAACAGCAAGTCGTGGCAGCCTGGCAGCTCTCCACTAGCAGGACAAAAGAACGCTCCTGTTAACCCCACTCGGCCACAAAAACTTTCACTTGGGCGCCAGCTTTTGAATCTTCTCTGGCACCTCGCCATCTGGCAGTTTCCTGGGCATAAGCTGACTGATAGCTTCATAAAACTCCGGCCCCATCTTGTTGCCAAGAGCCCTAGATTGATCAGTCTATTGCATTCTATTGCAGGAACGCTGTGCAAACAAGAAAATAAATGATCGGTTTTGGACACGAAACCCCTGGTGATGGTTGAGAGCCAAGATTGTGCATGTCATCACCAGCATGAGTTGGGATGTGCAAAATTGTATGAAGCTGTCTGACAATGAAAGTGCAAAGCAAAAAGCCCTATGACAAGTGCTAAATAACTTGCTGAATTGGCCTCCACGACACACTAACCTTTACTGCCCAGCCCACAAAGAATAGCCAAGACTCCGATCGTGCCATCCCCGCGATCCTCGTTCCGGACTAGCGTAACTCCTCCCGGGCAGACCAGGCAACACCATTGAAGACACTTGGTTGGGGACCATCAATGAATGCTTCAAAAGAAGGCTGGCCCTCTCTAAATCAATATGATTTCATAAAGATCGACACATGGCTGTCAGAAAAGGAAAAGTAAACAAGAGCTCGCCCAGCTCGCCTACCCTCGTCTGAGAAAGCCGCTTTAGGGTCCAGCATGGCGCCAAGATGCTGATCAAAGGTTCCTAGTAGCTTCTTGTTACTAGTAAGGCCAGGAGCTACTAGTAGCGTCCTTGCTCCTAGTAGCGATGCCCTTTGCTCCTAGCAGCGTCCTTGGGTGAGAAACCGTGTCAAAAAACAAGCTGTCTCAAGCAGCTCAAGCATTCAGCATAAACAAATTGTGCTGTAGCTGTAGCTGTGTGTTTTTGGATGTGTATAAGGAACTTTACAAAGTATTGCACTAACCTTGGTCCAAGTGCAGCCAGAGCTTACAATGAGCTTACTTGACACACCGCTCAGAACCTGGCCAAGATATCCTTCACAGGTGATTTCGTTCCATGAACTCTACACCTCCTCTCCATTGGTGTTCATCTTCGAGCTTCCTACGCATCGCAAATTGTGCCTGTCTGAAAGCATCTGCCATGCATAAAGCCCGAACAAAACCCAGCAGCCCAGCAGTCGCCTTTTCATCTCAAAGAAGGTTTTCTCCATACTAATCATGCATCTAGTGCAATAGCCAATACATTCATCCATTGTCGGATCCAATTACCAACTACGCAGCATGGAGCCGATTGAAAACACCTTCTTGATGGAAAGGTCATAGAGGATTTGGACCAACAAATTTATGTTTCCGACTGCAATATCAAAACAAACAAAGCAGCGAGAGGCATGTGTTGTCCCTCCACCAAGTGAGGGCATTGAAACCTGTGCTTGGCAACAATCTTCGTGTCACCATGAATTGTAACCACCGAACGCACAAACCGTCGTTCTTTCTTCCTCGAACACAAAAGGCTTCCATGTAACGTGTCACTCAACAACCGCTCGAAGCACCTCAAGCGAAACCAAAAATGAAGGAGGGTTTTGGCTCCCCCTTCCTGAATCTTTCAGGATCTCAAAGCCTGAAAGAAAACTTATGGCACCCTATTCGCGCCATCACAGTGAAAAATTCACATCCAAAAGCAGCCCAAGCCCTTCGTTCATCCTCTTGGAGGTCTATGCTGAAGGTGGTCTAAGGAAAAAAGCAAGCAACGTCAACAGCTACATTCACCCTCAGAATCCCGCTCAAAACGCTGCCAGCGCCACCACTCACCCTCAACAAACTCCATGGATGCGCCATGCTCACACTCACACTTCATGCCCTTTCACACTCATCCTTCAGCACGAGCCAGTCCCAGCGCCACAACTCTGCTCAGGAAGATCGGACACCCTGAACAACACGCTGTAGCCAGACCAACGCTGCTGGAGGTAGTGCATTCCATGACTCCCTTTTTCTCAAATCTGCTCGGATCATCTTTCGTCCATTCTCCAACCATGCCACCGTCACAACTGTTGAAGCCAAGCCGTGAGCCGCCGGAGGCATAGACATGTCGCTATCAAACAACTTCTTCCTCAGACCGCCATGTCGATGGATCTTCGTGGTGACCACGGACCGAGGAAAATGAACCATGACCTCATGCGGCTGACCATTCAACGGCATGTTGCAGATGTAGCGGAGCACACAATCCGCAAGCAACCAGGAAAATCCTGCCAGCTCGTCACCCCGTAGGCGCTTCAAAAACACCTGCATGGTCTCTCCTCCTCGTGATGTGAACGTCTCGAAGAAGATGTTGCTTGGAACCCTCCCAGACGCCACAACTCTCCCACAATCTCGTGCATGCACAAAGCCTGAGCCTCCACCTGCCCCACCTTCGTGCCCAGGAACACCTCGATCTTGTAGACCCTCTTCAGCTGCTCCTTCATGCCCTAGAGCACCCCGATCATGTGGATCCTCTTCAGCTGCTCCTTCATGCCCTTGAGCACCCCGATCATGTGGATCCCCTTCTGGTAGAGATTCCCGTTCAGGAAGAGGAACATTTGTGCTGCCCTGCAAACTTCGCACCACCACTCCTGAGCTCCCAAATCCCCCTTCTCCCCGGGAGGTGTTAGAGAGCCTTGAAGTTACCACAAGCGGAGCTGTGGACACCTTTTCGATCACCAACTGAGCCACCCTGTCTCCAACCTCAAAGACCTTCGTGGTGTTTCCTTGGTTGACCATGATCACCTTCAACTCCCCCCGGTCGTCGGAGTCCACAACACCACCAGCCACATCTAGCCCTTGGGATGCCAAAGAACTCCGTGAGGCCAACCGCCCATAGCACCCCCTAGGCACCTCAACAGCAATGCCCGTGGAAATCAACTTGCGTTATTGAGGAGCTACTCGACACTGCATGGTGGTTGACAAATCCCATCCTGCAGCCCCATCTGACCCCCTCGTCGGGACAATCGCCTCATCATTCAACAGCTTCACCTTCACCTCCTCCTTCCCAGACATGAGCCGCTTGACAATCACCAGGCCCACATCCTTGATGAAATGCAAAAGACACACCAAGCCTGCCAGAAATACCAGCCAGCCCAAATCTCCTGCAAAAGAGGACGTCTGGGTTGTCGGAAATTCAACCTTCTCACACACCTCACTTGCTTCTCCTTGAGGAAGCAACGATGCACCCGTCAGCATAGCCGCAATGCACCTTGACAATTTCACACTCTCCCCAGCAGCCAGTGTTTTCACCTCCTTCACGACGCTCGGGCGAAACCTCTCCAGGGATTGTGTAGGGAGACCCTTGGTAAGAGCATCAGCCCACAAGACAGTGCCGCTTCGATGGGTCAAAGAAACTTCCCCCGCTTGCACTGCCTCAGCTAAACAACTGGCACGGATGCGAAATGTCGTGTCCTCCAACCTCCGCGAGCTCCCGACGCAAGGACTATAGCTGCTCGATTGTCATTGTAGAGCTCCAAAGTCACCTCCTCCATGAGCAGCTCCACCAACGACCGAACCGAGCGGCCGGATTGAAGGCCCTCTACCAAAGCCGTGAGTTCTGCCTCTGCTGTGGACAAAGACATCAGACCTTGCTTTCTACTTTCAAAATGATGGAGCCCGACACACTGTGACTGTCACCTGGACTGAAGGATGCATCGACCAACACCTCCACAGTGCCTTTTCTTCGCGGACGCCCCCGAGCAAGATCAGGATCACGATCCAAAGGCACCTCCGTAGGGTAGTGCAACCCCAGATCCATAGTCGAGCGGACATATGCCAGAACTGCCTCCCCCATCGCCAGCGTCCACGTAGGCTTCTTCACCGCCCATTGTGACATCTTCATCACGGCCCAAGCAAGATCTGGTCTGGTCTTACCCGAAAGCCACAACAACTCACCTGTAATCTTCTGAGCAGCCCTCACCTTTGCCAACGAAGGAGCATCTTCTTCTTTTTCTTCAGGAGTCCTGATGAACGTGGCCGTGCCGCCACCCACATGCCTCTCCAACACCGCACGCACATAGCTTCCCTGATGGAGGTAGTAGGTGCCGTTCTCCAGGCGCTGAATCTCGATCCCCAAGAACCTCATGGGAGCTCCTCCAAGACTGGCGTACTCAGGATTTGACGTCTTCCAAGCCCTCTCGATTGTGCCTGAGGCAGCATCTGTCACTTCCTTTGGTCCCACCATTAGCACATCATCAACGTAGACAATCATGAGTCCAAGCACCGAGCCCCACTCCCTCGAGGAAGACGACGATGCCTCACGGACTTCTTGAATTGCCCATAAATTGGCATCCTTCAAGGGCCGAAAACTGAACTTCACCTCAGTCTCCCCCTCCTCTTCCTTTGAAGTCAGGACACCAATCATCTTCTGCAGCTCCGCATCACGGTATACACTCCAGTCCTTTGGTGAGGTCACCAGCCCATACATAGCTGAAGTGATGACCCAATGTTCATCTGCCTTGGCCAGGTCGGCATCCACCAGGATTCGAGGCGGCTTGACAATGAAAGCAAAAATGCCGACTTCACATCCAAAGAGAGGCAACGCCAGTCATGAAGTGATGCGACACGAAGCATAGCCCGCAGCTGAGTCGAATCCGCCCCCGCGTACACCTCATCACCAGACCGAGCTTCCATGTAGTTCCCACAGCAAACGATGCGTGCTCGGCGTCTTCCGTCTCCCGCTTTTCGAGTGAACACGCCCATGCCGGGGATGATCTCAGCTCTCTGCCCCTTTTCTTCAGCATCGTGAACCAGGTCTAAAGCTTCCTTCTCCGAAACCCTCTGAATGGCCTGGTTCGAGTCGAAGTTGGTGATCTCTGGGCGCCAATGGCCCTGAAACTCATCCCATCCCTTGGTGGTGATCATCACACGTTGTCCCCAAGGAAGTAGCCGAGGCGTTGAAAAGCCCAGAGCAGCAAGCTGTTGCCGACCACGACGTTCCCCAACATGTTTGGCCATCAGTGGCCAAAAATCTTCACCTTCGTCTGCAGAGCGTATCAAAGTGTTGACCGCGCGCCGAATCACCCCGATCTCCGCTTCTGCTCTTCCATTTGCTTTCCAATCGCTCCCACAAGTGAAGGTTCGATAGAGGCCACGATCCTCACACCACTTCTTTGTCCCCCTC